TAGACTCTCAGTCCTTTCACTGCCTTCCCATCTGTTTTTTCTATTATCCTTGAAAGAAACTTACCTGTCCTCTATTCCACACCCCATCCTGCCTCTCCATTGGTCCATGCCATCCCAAAGGAGGTGGCTTCTTCCGTGTTAACTGACCATGCTTGGTTTTCCTCCAGCCCTTTCTGCATTCCTGTTGCTCTATCAGCTTCCTGCTGTCTCCTCATCCTGCAGCCAAACACTGTTTGCAGGCTAAACACTCAAACTATGTCTGTCTCTACCCAGTTCAATGACACCTCTCATGTCAACACACAAAAACCAGGGAATTCACAGGGAACATCTTCAATAATTAAAAGCTCAGCTTGCCTGTACATTTCCTTTCAACAAAGCTACCACAACTCTAGGACACTGCAGCTAAGACTGTAAGAATAGCCAGATCAATCTGCAACCACTTATCTTACAAACCAAAAACTGCCTGCACTCGACACACTCCCCTTCTCCTTAAATCCCTAGCAAATATACTCAGAGCGCATCTGATATTGGTTGCTACAGTTAACTGAGTGAAGAGACAGGACTCTTGCTGCTTCCATTTTTTGCAGGTACTACAGCAAAATAAATATTTGCTCCAAACCCCAACACTCATAACAAAACACACAGTTCCACACACTAATAAAATCAAACAGAAATCAGCCAAAATTACTAGTCCTGCTTAACAAGCCTATGTTTTAGTGAGGAAGTGAACAGGTTGGCTTTGGCAGTGTCTCAGGAACTCAGGTAGCAACTGCTCCAGGTACAGTGGAATAAAGGGTATTTGTGTCGTCTTAACTCTTATTTTCTGCTTCAAAGTTTTCTATCATGTCCTCCACCAACAATGCAAAAGCTTACAAGGAATTGCCTTTTACAGTTACCGTCAAGTAATAAGGCTTTTCTCTCTTGATTTAACATTACATCTGTAACTTGGTCTTCCTGGAGTTATTTGCATTGAAGGCTCTCTCAGAAGCTTCTCTACCCTTGACGTGCGTGCCTGCAGCTGGACAGAGAAGTCACTACACTTTGAAAAAGTTGCTATAAATTAGTACATGGGGTTAGATGAGGTTCAAGATTCCTGCAGTGATTATAAACTCAGCAGGAGTCCTTACAACAGTTCCAATCTCGACAGGGTTACTGTCTTGTTAATCAACCTCCTTCAGGACTGGAAGCAGTTCTGTGTCTCAGTTCTTGGGGGCTTTCTCTGGAAGCTGCAGTTTCACGCACAAGGATCAATCTACAGAGTATACAGAGCTCTGATATATTTGGTAAAACAACATCAAAAAAGACTAGACTTAAACTGTGGCACCCTGTGTCAAACCAGACAGCACAAAGACTATAAATTCTTGTCCCGGTTAGTGCAAAATAAGATTTGGTGATTTTAAAGCTATGGCTAAACTGATTTTGCAGCCCAGGTCCAGATGTTAGCTATGGCCATGTCCTGAAACCAGAGGGTGACAGGATTGGTGTACAAACCAGAACTTGCCTCCTCTCACCTCCTGGGGGAAGGAAACACAGGGAAGCTGATGGAGCAGACTTGGGGCATAATTTCTACTGCTCTTGGTCTTGACTGGGGAGACATGGACATGCTGTGGAAGTACCCATACTTTGGAAAAGCCCCAACCTGACTTGTGCAGGGAACACAATATCTAGAAAGGGAGGATTTTTTCTGCCTTGTGTTGTGCAAGAGAGAGCTAAAATAGGGTGCAATGTTCCTTAAACAGATAAATTTTAAGTGTCATCTTCCTTTTGCTGATGCTCCATTCAATAGAGTGGACTTTCATATAAGAAACACATTTCAGTGTGCCAGACATCTTTTCTGAGGGGAACACAAGGATTGCAGCTCCTGTGGTTTTTCATTGTTTGCCTTTGCACACCCATATGGGAACTGCATATATTCTGTCTGAAAAGAAGCTAAACTTTGGCTTTATTATATGAATAGCACCTCCAACAAAAATATGGAAATGTCGTTCCTTATAAACAGTCTGTTTCAGAAAACCAGAAAATCTGTATTAAAACTGAATGGATCTGTTTGTGGTAGGATTTCTTGAGGGTCAGACACATGCACTGATTCTGCAGGGTTTGGACAATCCAGGCTGGGCCTCAGAGCAGAAAATTGCCACGTGATAATCGTGTCCTTGAGGTAACCTTGAAGGTCTAAAATGAGGAAGTCAAGCTATTGCTTCCTCCCAGACGCATGCCTGGATACACTAGCCGCAAAGTAGGTTTTGTTTACATACGTGTACTAACAACGCAGACCTATCAGACAGCACTTCCGGGTGCAGGATAAGTGCCTTTAACCAATAGACTGTAAGCATAGAGCACGTGACAGTCTGGCTCCGTATATCTCAGGCGCTATTCGGGCAAATAAAGGAGAACGACTTTCATCGCACCGGTGTTGTGTCATTATTTGGGTCTTGGCTCCATACAGGACCCTCCTACATCTGTTCAGTACAAAAAGAGGGCACGGAGAAGGCTGGAAAAGTCTGGATGCCAATAATTTACTAAGTGAGTAGCAATGGCACATTAGTACTGTTGCTGTTTTCCCTAATTATCAGTAACAACCACTACTGCCGATCTGGATTTGTACTGTGAGAGTACCTAAGCACTGAACTACACAGCAGTTCCCTGACAGAAAATTAACTTTTCAGGACAAAAGAGTGCAGATGGATATATCTGACCTGACCAGGCACTACAAGGGACAAGTGGGACAACAATGTTCAAGCAGGTGAAACAGTGGTATAGCCCTGACCTCACCACTGTTTTTTCCACAGCTGCTGTGAAAAAGGAGGCTGTTAAGAGAGGAGCTGAAGGTAGGTATAGAGCTAATCAGGAAGGTGTTCAGGGCTCTTTCCAGATTTGGTGGGAAGTGTGGGAGAAATTAATTGATGTAAAACTTAGCAACATTGTGACAGAAGCTGGCATCACCGGGTAAGCTAAAGTGGGAGCTACTATGTTAGCATGGACTATTAGACTTGAGGCCTTAAAATCAGAGACAAATAGCTGTACTTGATGTGATAGAAAAGGAGATGACAGTGGGGAGATGTAAAGACAAATGTCTTTGGGCAAGATGTCAAGCTAGGAAAATGATCTGCGCAGCAGCATGAATGGAGGTGGGTAACATTGTATTTGTCAAAACCAAGGAAAGGATGTTTCAGCAATTAAGGTGTGTAATGTGAATTTAGACCTGCGACTTAATACCTTTGTGAATAAAGAGCTTCAGCTAGAAATGCTATAGAGTAGCAGTCTGCGAGATTTATGGGTAGTCCTAGACACAGAGACACAAGGGAAATTCAGAACAGAAAGTGATCCCCAGGTTGCAGAACTGGAGGATGGGCAGTTTGATACCCATGATGACTGAGTGTACTCATGTGAGGACAAGAGCTAGGGGATGAAAACAGGACGTTGTCTATTTTAGCCATGCTAAGCCTCAGAAGATAGTGAGACGCTGATCCACAGTGTGGCTTTTGAGCTCTGAGTTGTTTTATTCAGTTTTTAAGGAAAGTGAAAGAATTCGTGAGTAAATCCTGAGGAACAAAAGGGTCCTAAAGAAGTCCTGAACACTTCGACATGAAGCTTCGCAAAAATATTTCTTGAGGAATGCTCTCAAGGGGAAAAAAAGAGAGAGCAGCATCTGTGTTCACTGGTTTGGAGATGCATCTTACCATCCCCAGTCATACAGTGCATTTTTCTTCTCAGCTGGGGTATCTTACATATCCATGTTCCTCTGTGTGGAAGGAACTGTGTCTCTTCTACATTTTTTGCCTAATTGCACAATCCAAATTGGACAACCTAAGGAGCAAGACCAGCTTCTTTGACTGTTCATTTTAAGAGTTTTGCATAAAAAAAGGGGTGAGTGAGCCTCACATCACATCATGAATTAATGATACCTGCTACTAATTTGTAACAAAACAGCAGGGACTGAGGCTAAGGCTTGTTGAATATGTGGTTCAGTCCTACAAGGGCCTGCTTTGTAAATGATAGCTAAGTAAAAGCTCTGCCAGTGAAGTCATCAGCAATACATCATCATCACCCTTTGATAAACTTTTTGTCCAGTTCAGGAATTCAAAGCTGTATTTAACGTATTCAGGGAGAATGGAGAAATGCCTTTAGAAACAACAGGTTTAATGCACTACTAATCTCTAAATCAAACATTTATAGCCCTGTAGCTTATAAACAATCAGGAATATTTGGGTAGTGGATATCCAAGAGGTGGAAGTGCACACAGTAATAGGGAAGTTTTACCACTCCATCTACCTTGTTTGGTGTTTCAATCACTATTATATCAGATTTATAAGCATTGTGAATTATTGAATTATCAGTCTAAAAAAAAAGAACCAAAAAACCCCATGAGTTAAAATATATAGAAATGTTTCATTGTTTATAAATTTGCCTCAGAAAATAATCAGTATCAAAGCTGATTCAAGCCAAGATCTGTCTGGATGTGTATTAATTTGATCCATGAAAATAAACTAGAAATTACTAAAATAAAAGAAATAATAATGAAATATGGAAATAACTACAGATTTTGCACATTGTCATTATATAACGGACATAATGGACATAATGACATTACATAATGGATTCTAATTAAATCCAGATGGAAAATGACCTTTCTAGACTTTCCTTCAAAATTAAGATTTTTGACAGTCACGATTAATGGAAACGTGCACTTCGCATGGTTTGTAAACCTGAAACATCATTGTACATTTCAGTTTATAATTTATCCCATTATCTGCTTTTGCATGAAGGTCGACCATACTAGCACAATGCAGCAGTGAAATCCAGAGGCTCTGAAATGTTGTTTTCACAGATTTTTCAATTATTTCTCATGAGGAAATAATTTTGCCTACTTTTTCCTTAGAAAGCTGACAATATAAAAGAGTGATATTTTTAACAACAGTAGTTGCAATATTCTTGTTATTCTCTTGTCTTTTTACAGTAAACGAAAGGGCACTGGAAAAAAAATGTTTAAGGATTCCTACCCGCAATATTTCTTCAATGCAGCTGTTATCTCCTGTTCCACTGTCCTGTAAGAAAAATAAGAAAATAGTTTGTTTGTGTTTTAAAAAGAAATAACAAATAGCAAGTTTGAGGAAATGGTTGTCACATGAAATACATTCCAACCTCTATTACAGTTTTGAAATGAGGCCAAGTCGTTCCAGCATCTGAAAAGTTGCACTGCTTAAAATTCTCAGATTATTCCCCATCAGTACCACAGGAATATGTAATATTTGCAGTGTTCACATATGATTGCCATGTATTTGTATAAATTCATAGGATTTTGTTTATGCCACTTTTGGGTGCAGTTCCTGCTGTTTTGTCTATACTGCATATGAATAAGCATAAGCAAAGGAGTTTTTGCATGTACATAGATCCAATATGTGCATTTTTTAATATTAACTAAACAGCATCTCTCGGCATCCTTTTTGCAGGAAAGACTCCTCAGTGACACAGTGAAGCCTGATGATGTATAGGGTAGAGGCACCTGCGATGCTGAGGGAAGAGCTGCAGAGACTGCAACACAGGCTGCAACACTGAGCACAGGCTAGGCAGTATGGCAGTCCTAAGAAGGCTACAGTTTCCTAAAATGCTGACCCTAAACACACCCATACATTGTGGGACTGAGGGCGCAGAGGAATTCAGCTGTCCTGAATGGTATGGCTTCCATTCCAGAGAGGGGAAATCAGAGATTTGGCAGAGCAGCTATCCCGCCTATAGGAACCATCTAGCTGGTGCCTCACCTACATGCTCAGCTTGGCTGTTTGTTAGGACCCAAACTTCTGCCAGAAAAGACGAGACACCAGAGTGCCATGCTTATGTCCCCCCCCCCGCTTCCCTTCCTGCCAGCCCCCCTGCCCACAGTTCCCTTACACTGCCCAGTACAACTGCGAAGAGAGGGCACACTATGGATGGAGGTACTGATGCTGAGGGGGAGCCTGTCTCCTGTAGCTCTCCACAAGATACATGTGGCTGCTGCATCAAGGAAGTTTTCTGGGGATTTACTTCACCACCCTAAATTCCCTGACAATTCCCCAAAGGAAAGTTTTCTTCCTTTTGCACAACAGAACTAACTCAGGAATCAGGAGACTGGGGCTTGCGGTCTTCCCATGTGGGAAGAGGAGGATGGAAACAAAACCAATATGATTAATTAATGTTCCCAAAGAGCTAGCAGGGAGGTGAGCTTGGTCTTCTCCTCTCATTTTCAAAACACACCTGGAGGTTCTGAGTTTGCAGGTACCCACCTGGAGAAATATCAAAGCGATTCGACTTTCCAAGGCGATGAGCTCTTTTCACCTGGAAATCAGACTTCTCTACCACATCTGTATTTGGGCACCCAAAAAATCACAAGGCACTTTCAAAAATGGGTACCTCTGTGCCTACCAGACCCAAATGATCCCACTAGTCAGTCTGTGCAAGTCCTGCTCCTGGGCACTGTCACCGCCGCTCCCCAGCCTGAGCTGAGTGACTGAGGTCTGGATCCACAGCCGCTCGTAGCCTACCAGCTGTAACCAAGGTCAGAAGTACGACAGCCATGCATGTGCAAGGGAACAATTGATGTTCGGTAATTCTGGGGGGCTGTTATTTCATGCCAATCCATAGAAAGTCATAAGTGCTTTACTGTCAGCACTCCTGTTAAATCTTTTCTGAATATGGCCCTTGATTGTTAAACAAATAAATCGCATTAACTCTTTTTGGTGCAACAGTTCACCAGGACTCACACCACTGATTTCAAAGGGAAAGGAACTAAGCACACTATAAAGCCAGCCTTTGGAGGACTACTCATATCTGATGTACATATGCTGATGAGAAGCTGCAGCCCTGAGCAGAGCCCTGTTCTGATCACAGTCCTGTCCTGATCCCAGCCCTGTCTCGACAGGCTGCATAATGTTGCCAGCGACCTTCCCACTGCTGGAGCAGGGAATCAAGTGCAAGGGTTCATGCTGCCATAAAGCTAACAAGGCAGACAGAGACACCACAACAATCTCTGGATATTTAAGAAATTAAAAATTCATATTAGCTAATTTTTATTTCTCTCTTCTCTATGGGTTTCCCTCCATTTTCTCCCCAAACTTTGGCCTATGACTTGTTATCTCATTAACAACAGACGAGAGTGTAAAGCCCTCATCATGAATGCCTTGTTTACAGAGCAAATAATTTACTGGCCAACATCAAGTTTGCCATTTGAGTCCATTGTCATCTTACAGAAGGAGAGATGAGATGACCTACCATCTTATGCTGTATACAAAACATTGAAGTAAAGTGATACTACATAATAGTAAAATTATGTCTATTTTATGTGAAGACAAAACTACTGAAGGTAAATTGGTCAATAGGATATTTCAGACTAGTCTTAGATACAAGCTTCTGTTACAAAATTAAACATCCCTCCTAGAAGTGTAATGAAATAAGTCTGCAAATGCTCATCATCAAGAAATTACACTTGCCATTACCACAGAACAAAAACTTTAGCTATTGTCCCTAGCACTACATATCTCTGGGCAGGGATTAGAAAAAACTGCACATCTCTCTCTCAGTATCATCACACTGTTTTCAAAAGGCAAAAAAAAAGGCTGGAAACACAAAACCAAAGACAAGATTTGCAAAACTGAAAATAATATTTGGAAAAGAACGCTCAATTTCCATATTTTCCTCTTTGTTCTTCATCTTTTGAGTGCCAAATATAAATTTATTAATTTAGTTTTACTTTGAATACTTGTAAGGATCTTACATTACTGTTGATATCAAACTTTCTAGAATAAGGGTAGTGAAGTTAAGAGACCATGCTCTGCACACAGCAAGCAACTTCAATTTCATATCGCCTGTGGCCGTATTATTTTTTTTCATCATGATATCATATAACACAATGCAGACTGTTATTGTGGGACCTAAGGTATGTCTGAAAAGTATCTGTAGATGTTGGTATGAAAAAGACTCCTCATTCTCACTTGAAAAGCTCCTCTCCGCTACATCTCTACTTATACTATAGAGGAACCCTCACTGCCCACAAATCTGGCAACCTGAATTTAACTTCATGGCTGCATTTTAATCATAAAAGAAAATAAAAGCCGGTAAATGTTTCTAGAAGTCTGGATTAAAAGAAGAGATTGTATTACCTGCAGGCAACGAATAACACAGAGCACTCGACACGCTATTTGCATCAGTGGACTTGCCTGACCCAAACACTATTGCGTCGGTTCCCGCTGTGTGACGCAACACCTGCGCGAGGCTGCGGTCAGCAGTGCAGGCAATCTGTGCAAAGCAGTCCCTCCACCCTCTCCATAGACAGCACGCCACAGTACACTTGTGCAATAAGTGTTTTAACTACTTTAAGAAAAAAAAAAATTCAAAATGAAAACAAAATAAAGGTTTTGAGGCTGCTGTTCCAAATGAAGCCAAGGAGCAGCTACCCTGTATTTATTCTGACACTGATGAACCCAGCTCATTTGCCTCCCTTTGCATTTTGCGATCTGTCATAACAAACTCGCCTCACTGAACCTCCAATGAACCATCAGCGAAATACTGGCAGGTCTCAGGGAGCTGTTGGGGGAAGTGGGCTCCAGTCTCTTCCTGATCCGATGCTGTGCCCATTACCTTCGTTCTCCAGTCGGCGCAGCCTGAAGACTGCCAAACATCTGCACACACGTGCGGCTGGCGTGCAGTCTGGCAGGAGGATGCTAGGAGCTGCTGCGGAGGATAGCGGCAGTGGCTGCTGAAGAAATAGCCGGGAGCATCACGCTGCTGATAACAGGAGCAGCTAATTACCATGCAAAGCACAGAGAACTGTAAGAAACAAGGCTGACTAAAGGCTACATTGAATTCTTGAAATATGGGATGTCATTTCAAAAAAAAGCTACATCTGTACAATTTTTATTTCATAGCGTTACTTTACTTTTTTTTCCCTTACCAAGAGCTTTCACATGGAGATATATAAAGAAGCCTCTCTAAAAGGAATTGCCTGTCTGTGGTACTTCTCCCTCCTTTCAAATCTCTGTGTTAAGGAAAGAAAGAAAAATCTTCTGCAAGTGTCTATTTCCATTTTAGCCTAAGAGATTTTTATGGTGCTAGCTTTTGGTGCTGTTGTTATTTGGACTGTGCTAAATGTTTTTACAAAGTCTCCAGAAGTTATTAGATTTTGTCTCCAGTATAAATTAGGCATGATAAAGATCTCCAGAAGGCTGAGGTATGTATGCAGCCTCTTCCACTTGGCAGGAGCCAGGCTGGTTGTGTTGGCACTTGAACACTGGTCATCTGCAACTGGCGGCATGGCAGTGGCCACCACGCGGCCAGCCTCTGGGTGCCACCTCTGCCTCCAAGGCAGCTCTCACCCCTGCACTGCACGGGCACTGCACGGCATTGCTTAGCATGGAGCTAAAGGATGTCCCCTGGGGCCCAAAGTGACGCTTCAGGCAGTAAATGTTGGCAGACAATAATCTAAATCCATGATCTAAAAAAAATAGGAAAAAAAGGAAAAAAGCCTACATTGATGGACCTTGATCTGAGAGCATATTAGAAATGCTTCTTTGCCAGGCAGGACTATGAAAATATGGAGATACACACATGTGTGCACATAGGTATATATAACATTTTCTATACAATCCATTTGCTAGTAAGGAACTTCCAGTATGAAGAAGATAAGTAAAGTCTGTATCTTTTTACTTATTCATAAGTGCTGCCTCTGCCTGCTGTGTTGTAGATAACCATTGCCCTCAACAAAGTTTCCCTTCAATCATTTCTCTGAAGAGATCTTAACACCATCAAGTCATGGAATAAAATGTTGAAATTTAACAGGGAGACATACCTGAGATGAGAGACGTGACTACTGGGGTTTCTGTGGAAATATAGCCAAACTGCATAAAGGTATTTTTTTGGGGACAGGCCATTTGCAGGTGCCCAGGAAGGGGTTTTAGACATTAGGGTTTAACTTGTTGTTGATTTCCTTACATGTACTACATTCTCCAAAAGTCTCTGTATGGGATGGCTGTGCTTAACCCACACTGCTCTGGAGAGAAAAGACAGGATTGCAGAA